TTCTAATTTCCTCTTTCTACTTTCTGTCTATGCTTCTTTATTCTGTCCTGCTTCTTCTACTTTCTGTCTGTGCTTCTTCTATTCTTTAAATAATTGTGTTTGAATGACAAAATAATGGAGGAAATACACAGGAAGCATATTAAAATCAATGCATATTAATGAAACCAAGTTTTGCATTTTCCTTCAGCAACCACGGAACTTGAAATGTCCCAATCTATTTAGCCAATAATAATGTATCTTTACCATGGAACTGAACTCAGAGGGGATTACCTTTGAGTAAAATTTGTATAGAACTGTGTAGATTCCTTTCTTGGTTAATCATGTGGTCTGTGAAGTAAGTAACATGGATTGCTTCCCTTAAAAACAAGTTTTTGAGCAGGAAGGGTAGAGGAACTTCAGAGAGATCACTTCCCTCTTGACTAAACTTAGTCAAAATAACCTTTTGAAGTGCTTTTGTGAAACTGTCCCTGATGTCCAAACATCACAGTAAAACAACCAACTTACTTCAAATTGACTCCAGGATACCAAAGTGGAATGAATCTTATTGCATCCCCCTGCTCTTAGGATACTGTTTTTTAACTTATAAGAAAAGCGAAACAATTAAACCAATTTTATTTTTCAATTTAATAAATGTATTAAAGCATGGGTTTTATACCATTTTTCCATTCAATCATAGGGTTTCATATAATGTTGAGTAACAGCTGAAGAAGCTTCTTGGGTAAGAAGAAAAATGCCTTCAAAGAAAAACCAGAAATCCCAGTCGCCTCTTGCAAAAAAGCATCTTTGGGAAAACCATGATCTGGATGACTGAGGATCTCCATAGACAAAGGATTTCATAAGAAATTGATGGAACCCTGTGAGTCATTAAGAGTGGTCAAAAAAAGGCTGAAAGTTCATCTATCTGCATCTAGCAGAAAGTTCAATAAGGATTCAATACAAATCACCTTGCAATTCAGGAGTTGAAACATGAATTCGTATAGTTTAGGCTTGTCCTACTACAAGTAGTCCTTGAGTTACAACCTTAATTGAGTCTCACAATTAAGGTTGTAAATGGTGATGGTCATAAAGCAGATCATTATGTGTCCGGATCTGATTTTATTGCCTTTTTCTACCATGGTCATTAAGCAAATGTGAGGTTAACCACTAATGCAATGGTTATTAAGCAAACCCATTATTTGCTGTGGCACAGATTTTGTCGGAAACTGGAAGTGAACATGCTTTCCAGCAAACCATTGTAAATATGACACTTTGAGGCACAGCAAACAGCCGATCACTTTTAGATTAACAGAGTTGGACGGGACCTGGTAGGTCATCTAGTCCAACCCCCTGCCCAAGCAGGAGACTCGACACCATTTCTGACAGCCATAAATGCTGGCTGGTCACCAAGCACCCAACATGCGTTTGTATAACCACAGGTGATAGCATGAGAACTTTAAAGCCAGGTCATAAGTATATTTTTGGGGGTGTCCGTTGTAACTTTGAATAATAGCTAAGAAGCTGGTTATAAGTTGAAGATTATCTGTATTGATTTGGTTTAAAATGTATAGTTTTGCTTTGATAACTTTGCATTATTTTTGTTTTTATGTACAATCAATAAATCTAATAAATATTCTATTTGTTGGGGGGGGGGGAAATCATCAGTTCAGAGCTATATTTAGATGACCACTAGATGGCAGCAAAATCTAAGTTATTATCTTTTCTCCTTGCTGCAAATCTGATGGTCACCTATTTTTTGCAGTTCTGATACTTCTAGTTTAATTGCACTCTGCCATCTTGGCTATAGCCCCAGTATTGGCAGTTTGACAGTGCATCATATAGATGCCTTGGAGAAGGGATGCTAAAAAAAGAATTAATAAGAGAACATTGGTAGAATATACGAATAGAATTCTTTATTGATCAAGTGTGATTGGACACAGAAAGAATTTGTCTTGGTGCAAATGCTCTCAGTATACATAAAAGATACATTTGTCAAGAGTCAAGAATCATAAGGTACAGGGTACAGCACTTAATAATAGTCATAGGGTACAATAAACAATCAAATCATACTAGGAAACAGTCAATATAAATTGTAAGGATACAAGCGAGTTAGTCATACAATGTTTCAAATGCTTGATTTGAAGCAATTAATAGATGACTCATTTGTATATGTTTGCCAACTTCTCAAAGTGTTTTTTGACCAAGCAAGAAAAAGGATTTTTAACAATTTGGTAAAATGTACTGAAGTCTTTGATTCAAATTTCCAACTAGTGTTGCTTTCAAAATTTTAATATCTTTATCAATATAATTAAATATAGGTTGTAGACTTTATTAGACATATGTGGCCTATCATTTAGGGTTAACACTATTAAATATCATATTCATTTTATACTTTCACCATTGTTACCAATATTTTATTAAAACGAAAGAAGTCATATTTTTAAGTAGTAAATGCTGCAGAGACATCTTCCATTTTTGAGCTGTGAATGCTTCAGAATTTCTTCAGAATAATTTCTTTATACAAATAGCCATAGCACTTAGACTTATATACCACTTCACAGTGCTTTAGAGCCTTCTCTAAGCGGTTTAGAGAGTCAGCATATTGCCCCCAACAATTTGGGTCCTCATTTTTCCCACCTTGGAGGGATGGAAGGCTGAGTCAAACTTGAGTCTGGTGAGATTTGATCTTGCAAACTGCAATCAGCAGAAGTAGCCTGCAGTACTGCACTCTAACCACTGCACCACCACAGCTTATAATATTTATACAAATACTATCTTTGTAGAATCTTAAATCAGCAGAACATTCAATACAGTAATATTCAGTTTATAGCAGTTCTTTTAATGCATGACTGTCAAACTCGCAGCCCGCGAGCGGATGTGTCACACACTGCACATGCCCACATCCGGTTTAGTGAAGGGGGGAAAATCCCGATTAGTCACATGACACCATGACAACACGAGTTTGATACCTCTGATTTAATGACTGTTTGAAATTACAATGGTACTGAAAAAAGTGATTTATAACCACTTTTCATACTTGCAACCATTGTAGCATCTCCTTGGTCGCATTATCGTAATTCAGACACTTGGCAACAGTCTCGTACTTCTGGCAGTTGGCTGTGCCCTGGGGTCATGTGATCTTTTTGTGACCTTCTGACAAGCAGAGTCAATGGGGCAGCCAGATTCACTTAACAGCTGTGGCAAGAATGGTCGCAAAACGGGGCAAAATTCACTTAACAGATTATAGACAATATATAGCTTAGCAACATAAATTTTGGGCTCCACTCAAGGACTACCTTTACTGTACTAACTGTCTAGAGCTGGCAATTGTTTGGGGAATTGTTTGTATGGGGGGGGGGGGGAGTGTTATAGCCAGAATAATCCCCATCCAGCTTATTTCAGATCACATTTACATCTTAATAGAAACCTTTCAATAGGACATCTAAAACAGTATTGGTGCACGGTGTTAAATTGAATTAGATCTTCTCTTCAAGCATTGCTGAAATTTCTCTGCAACCCAACCACCCTCCTTGCCCCCAAAATTATTAGTTCCTTGGCAGTAATTTTCCAGACCTGCTGAATCAAAGGAAAGACTTTTAAAGGAGTTCAGAACTTGCAAAACCTAATGATTTAAATGAAGCTTCCAGCTTGGTCATTCTTGACCAGAGAAGGTATGAATAGCTGCAGAAATTTCTCACTCCATATCCCTATCAAAGGTTTTTTTTTTCTGGACATAATGTACTAAATGTATTTCCTGAGTTACATGCATATGCAAGTGTATAACCACAGATATATGCTTGTTCTTATATCTTATATCAGGAATGTCAAACTCACGTTGTCATGGTGGCATCACATGACGTATCGGGACTTTCCCCCCACTTCGCTAAACCAGGTGTGGCCAGCATGTGACGCATCCAGCCCATGGGTTAGGAGTTTTACAGCCCTGACTTATATGGATAAAGAAAAGCTAGAGGCTGTCTCTGCATTCACAGAAGTGTAAGTGTGTCAACTATACCCCAGTTGAACAATTTCATGGAAAAGGCTTTTAACAAGGCTTCTATTAGCTCTTCATAAAAATCGGTGACTTTACTTATTTTATATAAGAAGCACTAAAATTCTACTTCCTATATAAATGAAATAGTCTAAAGTATAGTTTTCTAGGAAGTAGTCCTCATTTCTTGTGTCTTGAAGAAGAGCAAGATAATAATTTCAATTGTTGAAGAAAAGTTATATTGAGTAGGATGGGGTTTTTTTACCAGAACATGTTTAAACAGAGTAACCCACAGTCTACAAGGACAATCATGTTTGTTTTTGCAGTATTTGAAAGAATGCAAGTTGTTTGTGATAAAAAATGCAATTGGTGGTCAACACCAAATACTTTTTAAAACCAACTTTCACTAAGCAATTAAATCTATCAAAATTCTAATAAAAGGAAGGCTGAAGAGAAAAGGGCAGTGAATGAGACACCCTTCTAAATGGAACACCATGATGTAAAAAATATTCACTTAAGCTCCATTATAGGACAGGCTATTTTATAAAAAATAACAGCTTCAGCAGCTGCTCATTCACATAGTCTTGCAATTGTGAGAACTCATTAAGATTCTTTGGAGCAGCTCCCTTTCCTTGCTAGGCTTTGCTATGCCTCATTAGACATTCAGGAACTGGCCCCTTCATCCATGCATTGGTCCTAGCCAACATTTATGGTGGGTAAATTAACAAGTCCAACAACGGCTGCTCTTTTCTGGGTGAGATGCAGCTATTCTTAGAGAAATTATTTACTGCTAATCATGCTTTACTTTGCCTATGACAACTAAGAGATGGGAAATTGAATAAAATCTGAATGAAGTCATTTTGTTGCTCACCTGCTTCTATCCTTAAAAGTCAACAGGGACCCCCGCACACAGCTACAATACCAGAAAAGAAATGAAAATTTTTTCCTGGGCTACAGGTGGTTGAAGAACAAAGAAACGTCAAGAGCTGGTTATGTATTTCAAGTGACTTTTTTAGGCAACGCAAACACAGACTGAGAGTTAAATGTTTATTTGTGTCAAAAAGAGCATCAAACCCATTGCCAGTAATGAGTAAAACTCATTTCACAGTAATCCACAGTTTCTTAATTTAAAAAGTACAAGATAACTTGAATGCCACTAATTAAGTGCCTCCCTGCATCCCAGGGAAAACACAACCATTTCCAACAAAGCAAATCCTGAATTAGCACAACGTATTTGTTCTGAAACACAGGCACACTTCTGGTAAATGCATACTGATGTATTACAGCCAATGGCTTTGATATGTTAATTGCAGCATTATATTGACTTCAGATTCTTTAAAATATTAATTTATGCCAAAATTTCATAAATTCTGTTTAGGACCTATACTTTTTTTCAATTTTCAGTAATTATTAGTTTTTATTTATGTAATTTTAAACAATCAAAAGAAATATTTAAATAACAGTCTATTTTTGGCACAACGTTTTATTCAAAGAGATTTAGGAAACAGCAGTCATGGAAATAACACTATCATATATCAAAGCCAATTAATTCATTAGCCATCTACCAAGGCAAATATAGTCAATTGCAAAAGACAGAATACTTTCTCATTGCACATCTTTTCGAAATGACAATAATAAATTGTTCTATCTTCTTAGTAACATAAATGTAATTTACCAATCCTTCATAATCTTTGGAGAAAGGCTGTTTTATACTATATTATTAAAACAGATTCAAAACTAGGAATACTTACTGCACCTGTTTTGAGACATATTCCAATTAATGTAGTTCAGAATATTTATAGGATGTTTGAAGAAGCTTAACAAGGCGATCCTGGCTTATCTTGCCAAACCATGATGCACCTTTAAGCTGAGCTAATATCTATTATACTGTGTTTCAGCTACATGACTTAAGAACATTTCTAGCTATTAACAACTTATTTGGAGAAGAATGATAAGAATATATGTTGAGTGATTAGCTTCCAGAATTATATTTGCAAAAGCCATTTATCACAAAGTCTGCTTGAAAACTATGTTAAATGTTCTCAATATCTATCTAAGAAAGAAGAAGCAAAGTTTAAGCATGTTCTAGCAATTTTGATATTTGATACAAAGAGTGTCTTTAATTTATTCTAATGATAATTTTCTAAGCTAACTGGGATGAGAGCTAATCTTCCATCAGTTTTCCCCCCAGCAATACTTTTTTTTAGTTTTATAACTGATTACATAAAATAGAATACAGAAATTAAGCAAAGTTTTAACTGATAAGCTACTATTTCTGGCCAGAATGTTCTGAAAGACAGATAGAAGCAGAAAATAAATTCTATGATCATCTTTCTGACTGAAACTAGTAAAGGAACGTATTATATAGTTTCATTCTCAAGAAATCACACATTGTTTTCAGATGTCTTAAGGGACATGTGACCTGCAAATTGTTTCTTCTACAAAAACCTCTATGATCAATAATAGAACTGGGCTTTTCTACATTGAGGTCAATATTATAGAGTTTTTCTTCTAAAGAAAGCCTTTTATATTAACGTGTTTAAATAATGCTTTAATGTTGTTAAATTAATCAAATAAAATGGTGAGGGCAACTGTCCATCAATTCTTATTGTTCAATAAGTCCCTCCTACTTATTTCATGACCATTGGGACTGTATGTCAACAATGCATTCATTGAGTCCTTGTAAGTCAAACATCATTAATATAATATATAACCAGCAACCAAGAAATGATTGGTTGGTTTGTATTTATAGTTTCAATATGGCACAACTTGTATTTCAAATCTGAAGCACCACATTCCAAACAACTAACGGTTTTATTTCATTTCCACTAGCAAATGTCAGATACAGCAGTTAGCCTAGAAAAATACAATTAAAAAAAAATCTTTTGCAGACCATGTATTCTGTAACAAAACCTTCAGAAATTATTTTACAAATCAATCTACATCATTAAAATCAAAAGGAATCATTAAGTTCAGCATTTTCATTACATCCAGACATCCATCTATTCAAATATACGTTTCTGCAATATATAGATGTTAGAATTTGCAATATATTTATCTAATATAGCTCCTGTACATATTAAATAACATCAGAGGTTCTGCTTGTAGTGCATTAACCATGTAAAGCAAGCAGTATTTTTCCAGTACCATTTGCATTAGAATTATTGGCGTGCAGATGTTAGCATTTAAAAGTGCACACAGTTTTCCAAGTAATCCATTTTTCTATAGGAACAGAATATCCCATTCGAGGTACACCAAAATACCAGTTATTAATCTACACATTCAAAGTGTAGGAGTAGAAAGTATACAACAGTGTATACACATAATAATAAAAAAATAAAACACCCAGTTAGGACTTCAGTGTGTATTTACATCTGATTTCACTATCACAGATTCATACAAGAATTCACTACAATATTATCCTCCAGTTAGATTTGCTAAATATGATTTCATCTCAGGTAACTACACTCCAGCCCTTCAGATATACCCTCCACGGGTTATATGCACCAATTCAATATCTGAAGCAATAATAATATGTGGTTAAAAACAGCCAGCTAAAATCTGAGTAATTCCAGCAATATCAATGGCAAGTAAAATTGGTGTAGTGAAGGAATTTACACTGACCACTGTTAGCACTTGTTTAATCTGTCAAATTAATAGAGAAACCTGTAAATGAGTAATGGGAATTTTCTTGTACATTTTAATTTGTGAGCTTGCATTGCACTGATTCGCTAAAACAAGCTCACAAAGTTCTTCAACTCAGTTGATAAAGAGTTTATTTTCTCTGAAGCAAGTGATAAGTCTAGGGTAACAGAGCTGTTGATTTATGACCATCATTGGTACAGAACTTCTGTCAGTAAGCAATGTGTTGCTGTGACCATGACAATTTTACAACTTTTTGCCATAATTGTTAAACGAATCACACAGTTGGTCAAGCAAATCCAGCATCCCCTTATTGGCTTTGCTTTTTGAAGGGTTGCAAATGGTGATCATGCGATCCTGGGACACTGCAACTGTTTGTTGCCAAGTATATAAACCATGATTACACGACTGTGGGAACATTAAAATAGTCATAAGTGCTAGGGCTGATCATAAGTAACCTTTTCAGCACTGTTATAAATTTGAGTGATCATTAAATAATAGTTGTAAGTTGAGGACAACCTGTATTTAAAAATCAAGATTAAAATGCCATTCTAGATAATCCTGACTGAAATTAGCTTCTTCCACCACCCCCAAAAAATCCAGTGTGTACATTTATATAAAATCTTCAGTTTAAGTGTCACTAGAATCATATAAACTTTGTAATATCCATAACATTTATTGTAAAAAAAAAAAATCAAAGTTAATAGCTTCTAAAACCCAGCAAAAATAAATCACACTCTTTTCCCGTCCCCCCCAAAAAGTGCAATACCATCAAGTTGCTGCTTGGTCCACAAACACATAATATATATTGAGATGCTGTTTTGTCAGAGCTGAGTTTTTGTCCTTCAAAGGTCAGTCTGGCTTAACAAATTCAACGTCCAAAGACTGAGTTCAATTCCAGTAGGATTAATTCTACAATCTGGTTCTGATACACTGTGTGAACCGCTATATTACCAGTCTCTTTCTCAGGTTTTAATAAAGTTGGGCCAAATACTATGGCTATACTTTGATAGGTCATTCGGTTCTTCTCTCCATTTTCTATAATTCTGAGAAAGATAGAAAAATAATTATTCAAACTTTTTAGCATCATGTTATTATGAAAACTATGTAGTATCAGTCATAAATGTTCTGACATGTGTATATGTGTAGCTAGTACGTATCTTCCTCAAGACATAATCCTGGGTCTTACTACTACTTGAAATCATTCCAGTGCTAATGTTACCAATCTGTAGAGTTTTGTGTAACATGAATTCTAGAGTCACAATTTCTCACTTTTGAGTAATGGTGTGACATTTATCAAGATACTGTTACTGCGTTGATATTCTTTCCTTTCATAATGCTGGTTCTTTGCCAAAATCACACACTTATTTATACTCTATTGGGTTTCACAAGCTATACACTTACATACACTAAGTTACATTTCTTTTCTATGTATTTACTTACTTCTTGAGGTGTTTGAACAGCACCTGCATCGTATCGTGATTTGGCTTTGGCAACTGTTTAATCAGCTCTTTTACAGCTTGAACACGTTGCCGAGGCTCTTGTTCTAGAGACAGAAGAGACAAATTCTAGGCACAATGCGATTTTTCATGGCTTAAGAGTACACTGGGAGGACATTAGCTAACACCTAGCACCATCTAGCGACTCACATGAACACTGCTTACACTGTATGATCTGCAAGAATAACTACATAGGGGTCTACAGCATCCCAGAAGGCTGCTAAGATAAAATCAGTCATAATCCATTTTATTGGGTTAATATATACAATACAGTAACATGGACATTAATCTCCTTTTTCCATCTAGTGTGTATTTGGTTGCAATTCTATTCAATAGAATTTAATAACTTTATTTCAATATGAAATTACAATTATTAATAATTGGCTTCCTACTTAAAAGAAACCGGTGACTATTAAAAACTTTATTTTTCATTTTGATACAGTCTCGCATGCAATGAGGACACTGTTGTGAATTGCTGTGAAATTCTTTTAGGATGAGCATATTTTCAAAGAAATACTTACTAATGGCATTGACAAAATCATTGAAATGGCTGTAAGTGAATAATGGTTCTGGCAGTTCTCTAAAAAACATTTTCAAAGCCCCCGTAATGACATGGATATCTTCCCATTTGCCATCATTCAAGTCCAATTTTTCATCTGAAAGAAAGAGATACACAACCACTAGCTATGTCATAACACACCTTTGGTGCTGTTGTTGATACACATAAAGATTATTCAGATAAAAAGGCAATTATAAACAACTATCAATAAACAATATCAATAAATCCAACTAATTGCAAAAATATAGACTTCTGTCATATTAAGAATATAATCTGTTCAAACCTGTTATAAGCACACATAAAGGAATTTATTGCAAATAAATTTTTTGTATAAAATCTTACCATGATTAACTGCGAATCTTAGCTTCTGTATTACTGCAAGATTACCACTAACTCTATACAATCCATCAATGTCCAATCCTAGAAAAAAATTAATTTATTTTGTTCAACAAACATTCTTACAACTTACAATTAAATCTTACATTATATATGCATGCAATTTCCTAACAGCGAAAAGGAAAAGGAAAAAACGTAAAGTGAAAATTATAGGTATAACAAGCAATTTAAGAAGTAGATTATTTCATTAAACTCTGTCATATTCAGAGATTAACAGAAACATTTCACCAATGTAGGAACTATTCTTTTCGGGTCCATCTGGGAATGTAAATTTTGAGGAGCACATCTAGTAGAAAACTAGGTTTCTCATCCCTTTCACTCCTGAGAATCCTCAGCTATAATCTGGAGAGAATACTGTTTCTACTTGGAATGTGCCTTTCTTAAACCACACTATGCTAAAACTGGGAGAATGGAACAGACATTTTCACATGTCTGTCACCCAACATGAGGACAGACGGGCAAATCAACATAATGTTTCTTCACTGGATTAGTCAAAGTTTCTTCTTCAATACTGTTTTCAAACTTTTTCAAGCTTTTCTAGAAAAGTGTTTTTCTAACTTTTTAACATAAGAGGTTTCCAGAAATTAAAGGACAACTTGGGGCTATTATTATTATTTTCTTTTAAAAATGCAACCATATCAGTATCTTGGGACATATTACATTTGTGAATACTAAGATTTTTGTTAGCAAAAATAATTTTTAATCCTAAAAAGCAGTAAGTAGTCTCTTCCTACCATGTTCTTCAACATGCTCAATGCACAGCTTCACAAATTTTGGCACAGTGCTATTTTCTCTTTGACACAAACTGCTCAGATTGCAGCCAAATACCTGATCTGAAGAGCAGAAAAATAAAAATTTATAGACGAGTGAAATGAATTTGTTAGTATACAGAATAAAAACTGATACATGCATATATATATATAAAAGACCGCGAACTTGAACATATAAATAACATTTACAATATCTCAGTCTTAGGATTGTACTATATTAGATCCAATAAACTCTTAGAAATATTACGAGTTGATTTTTTAAAATCTCTAAGTCAGTATTGAAAAACCTTTGGGGGCTCAAAGCATGCATCAGGATCTGAGTTTTTTTTTCCCTCTCAGAGCAATGGCAGCGTCCTGAATTTGTGGGAAATTTTGCCTGTTCTCTTGCCATGGACAGATGACTCATTGGTGAGACTCGATTTCTCAGGTGTGTTACCTTCCTCCGCAGACAGCCTGAGCCTACTGGATCAGCCCACCCCAATTGGACCCAATTGGGTTCCAGAGGGAACTTGGAAGTTATTCTGGAAAGCCTGCTACGTGATCCGACTGAAGCCTTGGTGACTGCGGGTGAAATAACAAAGCACCAATGGCTTTAGATTGGATTACGGAGAGCACCAGAAACCTTTCTGTACACAAGAGTTCCCGATGGTCTCCATAGTACAGGATGGAATTAAGGAACTTAAACAGGCCCCGAGTGTTGCCTAGAATATTGCTGGTGAAAGACAAGGAACAAAGATGATCAGACACGAGCTAGGGCTGCTATGAAGGCCTACCTCATGACAATAAGGGTGATGGAACTACTATTTCTGCAGAGAAATAATTTTTGCATCCACCAATAGTCGCTCAGTGGCCCTGTTCTGGCGCTCAATCACTCCTTGGAGGAAGCAAGGCCAAAACCTATCTAAAGGGTACCTGTGAAGAATATGCTACACATCTGGCAGATAAAATTGGCACATTTGCTCTGCATTGGACTCCAGTGTGTGGAGGTAGTGGGCCCTACATCTTGCAAGGTGACCTTGGAAGACTTTGAGCCCAATGAATCTGAACAAGGCTCTCTCATCTGCTAGGTTGGCCATGTGTGCTAGATCTGTCCCCCTCCTGGCTTATTAAGGCCTCGCGGGAGGGAAGGCATAAATGAATCTGGGCAATAGTTAATTCCTTATTGAGTAAGGGAGTAGTCCCGTCAGTTCTTAAAAAGGAAGAGTGGTGCACTCCCTTCCCAAAGGACCCTTGCCCGATTCAGTTAGCCTGGACAGTTTTTGTCTGGCCTCCAACCTTTCCTTTATATAGAAGGTGGAGTGTTCACATGGCAATTTCACAGAACTCTGGATGAAACAGATTATCTACACCCTTTCCGGCACGGGTGGGATGGAGGTAGTGCATCCATCCTGGCTTTTCTTGACTCCTCAGCGGCATTCAATTCCATCGATCATGGTATCCTTCTGGGCCAGCTCCGGGAACTGCATTGTGGTGGTTCTCCTCCTTTCTCCAGGGCTGGTTCCAATCGTTGATAGAGGAGAGAGATCTAACGTGAAGCACCTACTTTGTTCAGTATTTTAGGGCTCTATTCTCTATTGCCTCCTATTTAACATTTACACAAGGCCACAGCATGAGGTGATCCGTGGGTTTGGGGTGAGAGATTAGCATGCAGATGACACCCAGTTTCATATCTTTACTCCATGTTCCTTGAGTAATGCCCTGGATGCCATATCCCCATGTTCTTGGGCCTTGGATGGGGCAAAAGGGGCTCCAACTTAACCCAAGCAAAATGGAGTGGCTGTGGTTAGTTGGACCCCTGGAGACAAGGTTCTTCCACCTCTGATTCTGGATGGGGTTACCCTGCCCCAAACAGACCCAGAATGCACAATATGGGAGTTCTCCTGGATCCATGGCTCCTGCTCAAAGAGCTGGTGGCAGCCATGGCTAGGAGGCCCTTTGCACACCTTCAAGTGGTGTGCCAGTTGCGCCTGTACCTTGATCAAGAGGCCCTGCTCACATTAATTCATACCCTTGTAACTTCAAGGTTAGACTACTGTAATAGGCTGTATTGTAATGCTGCCCTTGAAGACCATTCAGAAACTCCAACTGATGCTGAATGCAGTCACGCAGGTTAGTAAATGGAGCCAGATATATGGCACACTAATAACCACTCCTGCATGAACTGTACCGGTTATCGGTGTGTTTCTGAGTGCAATTCAAGGTGCTGGGGAGTTCTTACAAGCCCTGCCTGGCTTGAGACAGGGATACCTGAAGGATCGCCTTTTTTCAAAAATCTCTACCCATCCAACTAGGTCTGTGATGGCGAACCTATGGCATGCATGCCCAAAGTGGCACGCGAAGCCATGTTGCCCGGCACGCACAGCCTTGCCTGTTCGTCTTGCGGGTTTCTGGTATGCATGCGCGTGCGATGATCAGCTGTCCTTCATGTTCATAGCAGTGCCAAAAACCGGTTTGAGCATGCACGCCTGCCAGTTGATTGTCGGGTGCGCGTGTGCGCCAGAACCCAGAAATTTGGGTTTTCTGGAGTGTGATCCCTTTGCGTGTGCGGCAGTGCTCAAAATCGGACTGTGCATGCACACCGGCCAGCTGATCGTCAGGCACACATGCGTGCTAGAACCCAGAAGTTCAGCTTTTCCAGAGCGCAGCCCCAACGAGTACATGTGCACGTTTCCACATACCTTTTCGGCACTTGGTGCCGAAAAGGTTCACCATCGCTGAACTAGGTCAAGCAGAATAGGCATGCTGCAGATCTCATCAGCTAAAGAATGTCAGCTGGCAGAGACCAGAAGATAACCTTTTTTTTGTAGTGGCCCCTGGTATATGGAAAACTCACTTTGGGGTTAAGAATGGCCCCAGCCCTTTTTGCTTTTCATATGGCCATAAAATCTTGACCACAGTTTGAGTCTGGGGCACTGAATGAATGAAGAGCCCCGTTTTATGACTATATTGCTAATTGGTCAAATAATCAAATAATTTGCTCTTATGTATATTTATTTATTTATTTATTAAATTTGTTTGCCATCCATCTCATTATGAGGTGAATTGGAGGTTTTTACTGTTTTTATTGTTTTAAAATGTTTTTCAATTTTTTTAATTGCAATATATTTTTTTAATAGTAAAGCTGCCCAGAGTCACCGACTGAGATGGGCAGCCGTAGGGAATGAACAAACAAACAAACAAACAAACAAATAAATAAATATGTATTGAGGGGGTAACTTTCAGAGGGCATATTTGCCCAATACCCTTACCCACATACATACATACCCAGAAAACACTTTTCGGTACATTTTGTACGTGGATGAGCTGTAACAAACATTGTAAAATTAATGCTGTACTCTATGCTTGCTAGTTTACTTATTTAATTATGGATCATTCTCCTCAGTCAGGGGTGTCAAACTCAAGGCCTTCAGGCCAGATCTGGTCCGCAGGGCTGCCCTGGAAACAGCAAAGGACCAGCCTGCGGTATCTCTGGCAGAGAAAACAGAGCTCTGGAGGGTCCTCCCGAGCTCTGTTTTTGCTGGCAGAGGGTTGCAGGAGATCGTCGCAGTTGAAAAAGGAGCTCAGGAGGTCAGGCATGGCCCTCCCGGGCTCGGTTTTCACTGGCAGAGGGTTGCAGGAGCCCTCCCATACTAAGTGTTTCAGGAGACCATCACAGCTGGAAACAGAGCTCGCAGGGACCATGCACGGTCCTCCTGGACACAGTTTTCGTTGGCAGTGGGTTGTTGCAGTTGAAAAAGGAGCATGCAAGGGCCATGCACGGCCCTCCAGGACTCCATTTTCACTGGCAGAGGGTTGCAGGAGGCCGTCACAGCCAGAAACGAAGCTCGCGAGGGTCACTCACAGCCCTCCAGGACTCTGTTTTAGCTGGCACAGCGTCATAGTCGGAAATGCTTGGGAGCCCATTTTCGTTGACAGAATGCTCGAGCCACCACAAGCACCCTGACACAGGTGACATTGAGCTAGCCTAGTCACACCTACCCCAGCCTCCTGAGGTCAAACACAACCCTGATGTGGCCCTCAATGAAATCAAGTTTGACACACCTGTCCTCAATCCAATTTTGAGGAACAGACATTCCATTCTGGCTCTTTAGTTCACTTCATTTCAGTAGACAGAAACACCTGAACTTAAAGGTGCCAATGGAGCAAACAGCATAGATTTCCTTTTACTCTATTTTTAAAGAATTAATTTTATAACAGTTTTATGTTCTAAGTAGATCTTAGTGATCTACTGTAAGTTTTATGTTCTAAGTAGATCTTAGTGATCTACTGTAACAGTTTTATGTTCTAAGTAGATCTTAATGTCTACTCTTTTTTAAACAGGCCCTTCTATTATCCTGATGAAAACCAGAAAGTAGATCCCCCCAAAATATTTTTTTCCAAAACGCAACCAGACTTTCTTGGTGTTTTCTTTGAAAATATTTTGCTTCTCATCCAAGAAGCAAAGCATTTTCAAAGAAAACACCAAAAAAGTCTGGTTGCATTTTGGAAAATATATATATATTTGGGACAACCGTGACATGGTTAATTGAGAATCTGCATAGACATTTAGAAAGTAGATGGATGATCAATGAAACTCCTGAATTTTGATCAAGTTTGATACCTGCAATGAAAAGTTTCCAAAGTGACAGTTAAAGAAATAAGTGACCCAACAAAATTAGGTTTGTAGTGTTATTTTACCCGTAAATCTTAAAACTCAACATTTTTAACTTTCCCCATACCACAAAAATATAAATTACTGGATTTTTTATAATAAATAAATTACCATAATTTCTAATAGCAGATCAAGCTTACTGTTTCATATTGATAGAAAACAACCATAATATTCTTTATAGTGAGGTCTATTTTTTAAATTTATCTTTGACAAATGTAACATTATTTTCTTTAAGTTTAATAGAAGCTCTTATTTGTTCTTTTATATAATATAATACATATAATCAGATTCTAACAATATACTGAAATTGTGACAATGTTTCCTGCTACTTGCAGTAGCAGAAGCCTTCAATATGTGCAGCTTTGAAGTCAGAATGTCTCCACCATTTCCTAAGGAAATGACTATTTCCTCACACCCAAGTAATCAGCATGAATCACTATTTTCTAGTTTTATTGATTAACAAATTCAAAAGTTTTACCCTTAATGTAGCCTTTTTCACGGACTGCTTGTAAGGTAGGTCTGCGGATTAAAAACTTCTTCAATTTTGTTTTAGTCTTCTTTTGTTCCGAAGAATCAATACTGCTAGATATTTTTAGTGCTGAAAAACAAGAACATTTCAAATAATGTTTGACATTAAGTATTTTCTAATTTTTAAAACAAATTAATAATAAATTCCACAGGGACAAAATAGTGTGATCATTTGGAAGATGTTTATGGGAAAATATTGAAATGCAACATAATGATTAACAGAAGTACGATAGCATACTTGACTTTTATATAACCTTCTTTAAATTTCTATTTATATTAACAATTATTTTCTTTGGATAACAATTCAAACATCATGTGGCCCTCTTCCTAAAATGTTTACATAAACATAAAAAACAAGTATTTTAAAAGATATGTTTACATTCTATCAGAAGGACTTATGATCAACTCTATTCAAGGTTGTGACACATATCACCACTGGGACAGGCCTCCCATTGGCATGTGGTGAAGATGGAAGAGGAATGAACCAGTTATGAACTGACATGTGGCCAATCAGGAAATGAAGAGAAAGTTCTATCCTGGTATCCAGAGACTGTTAGGATCTAAGAAGAAACAGACTTAGGCTGAACCCTAGCAAGATGGCGTGGCTACCTTTTAAAAGCTGATTGATACTGAAGAAAGTCTGTCTCTTTCTTTGGATGAGCCACAGCTTCTGCAGACAGAGCTGGCTCACTCATGAAAGCCTCTGCACAATTACATATTCTGTAGCAGTTTCACTGTTCCTGGAGTGAGGAACACTTTGCTGGTTATCATTCATGCTCTTGATATGTGACTCAGTCTACATGAGGCTGTCCCAAAGGACCATCCAGAAGTGGTAGCTGATTCAAGTGCATTATGGAAAAGATGTGTAGCATTATGGCATGCCTAGGTGATATCTCTACACTGGGAGCTGCACTGATTGTTGTTAGCTTCCAGGTTCAACCAAAGATGTTATTTTTCAAGCCCAATATGGCTTAGGATCTAGGTTGTTCCAAGATGATCTCATCCAGGTGGAATCCAGCTGTCCAGTATGACTGGAAAGAGAAACAAATGAATATTTCTATTTTTGAAGGTGTGTTGTCATCAGACTCCATTGCGTGAATCTTCTGATGTCCACTCCACTTTGAAAAATGTTTCCCCAATAAGATGAGCACTTTCAATAACAGAAAAGTTATTCTGTTTCCAAGGATGAAGGCACTATTAATAACTGAGTTTATAATTTATTTTATTACTTTTGGTGTTTGAACTGTTTTAATTTTATTTCTCCAAATATAATTATTTTGGAAGTAAGAGCATATACTATCTCAGGTTCTTTGCCTTTAGAAGTAGCATTGGAGCCAGTAAAAACTGACTATACTGTGTTGAAAAAGGCCTATTTCTAAATATAGCAATGATTAATTACATGTTACCCACTCTGGATAAAAGAAAAGCATTGGTGTTTGGTCTCTACTGTTTCAGTTTTTGGAAGAATATATTTATTGAGGGGGAAAAAATCATTGTATTCATTTCAAGCCTCATAGTGTATGATGATAATACTTTTGAAGTTCTGAAACAAGTATAAGGTGATTAGACAAGCTGCAATACTACATCAAGTGTTAATATTTCCTTTAAAACTGCTGCAATAATGAAAAAAAGTCTACATTTTTTATGTGTTCGAGAGCTAAAATATTTTTTATGGTGATAATGAACAAGAAGCATGTCCACTTAACTATGGAATTGAAACTTACAACGAAGTTTTTTAGAATCTCTATGGTCCTTTTCCTTGTCTTGTTTTTCCAGTCCAGGCGAATCTGGCATTTCATCATCCAATGCTTCTTCAGACTCTACTGTCTAGTGTAATTCCACAACAAGAATTAATAAGTTGTCTTCCTACAGAATTATGTTACAAGATATGTTTTATAAAGTGTATTTCTTCAATCATGATCTCAAAGTAGAACATCATTTTATGAAACTGAGTATATTGATGTTAAAATTGATAACAGCAATTTATATAATGCAAAAGTCACCAATCTGAAAAGAGAGATCTGAGAAAAATTATCGATGTTGTTGCCAAGCTTCAACACTGAGTTAATGACAATACAATTAATATCATCTGTCAATATAATTTACAATTTCTTTCAGATATTTTTTAAGTTCAAATCTTTATTTTTCTTGATTCCATATCCAAAAATAAAATGAAATTATAGAAGAATAAAAGGCTAATAAGCTACATAAATAAATCCTTCCAAATTTAACAAACTCACTGTGGCCATGAATGACTTTGTTATTAAAGGAACTTGCCCAACACCTTATGTCTTATAATATCACATACCATATAATGGAAGCAAAATAGAACTTTTCAGGCATTTCATAGTATAGTAGAGGTCACTCCACTTCTTCTGGTGAATCCTTTATTACAATCATTTGCATATAGTGAGTACTCTGGCCCTAATTCTCATATATCAAAAAGTTCACACCCTGCACAGATCTTCAATATTTTTCAAAGAGCTAAAAACTCTCTGCTCCTAATTCTTCCTCAGTCATTCAATTAATCTAGGAAAACGCATTCCAAATAAAGCCAATACAATGTAAATGCAGCTGCTTCGTAGTATTCATTTGGATCTTAAATAGAGTTTTCTAAATATATATTGCCCTTTGGTTTTGGCTAAATCCCATTGGACAACCATAATGTATGCATTTATTCAAAATGGGTGTAGTCTTCATTTACCATGCATAAAAGCTTCTCACCTTTTTCCTCTTTGAATGTTCAAGAGCAGAGGGTGATTCAGTTCTACTATTCTGGTTTAAAATAATGATTTACATTGATTCAAATATTCGGCTATAATTAAGAATTTACCTGGTTACTGATAGCATATTCAAGAACTCTAAACCACTCCATAATAGATATGTCATTGTCTGATTGAATTAATAGTTCAGTTCCCTGGCGTGTTTTCATCTTTAAAATAAAAGAAATAATGACATTAGAATCAGGATTCATATTTTAAGCATTCCCCCAAATATCCTGATAACCACAAAAACAACATATTTAATATATTCTGAAATGATCCCAACTTGCTTTTTGGCTCTATATGTTCTATAATCTACAATAATAATGGCTGACTCAGGATCTCTCTTTCCTACAAAGTTTACCTCGATCACATTTTTCTTGCTCGATTTCTCCTTTGAAGCCCAGTCAATGGATGCACCTTTGAGATCTACCGTGAATTCTGGTTTAGACTGATTGACTCCAAACTTCTGAAATATTAATAAAAATGCATTAAAGACATAGATATAAATGATATTAGGAAAGTCTCTTGCGCAATATATTTAAAAAATATGAAATAAATAGGATACTGCTATTTCAGGTAGTCTTTGACTTATACCTATGATTAAGCTCACAATTATGGCCACAAGTCATGCTGGTTATTAAGCAGATCACCATGTGACTGTGCCAGATTTTGTCATCTTTTTTGCAGTGTTTGTTAAGTAAATATTGCCATTAATAAACTAGTACCACAATCATTTAAGTAAGTGTAGTGAATATTGAGCAAATCCATTGTACTTAAGTAGTTCTGAATAGATTCTTTGTAACTTTGAACAGCATAAATCAAGGACTATCTGTACTTAAAATAACTTGTTTGCTAGTTTCCGATTTAATGTGAGTGCATTGTTCTCCTCTTCCTCTTCCAGTTCCTCCTTTTCTTTATCTTAAGATCTATAATATGCTTGTATTGGCTAGAAGAATAGGATTGTTTTTTTGCAAGTTTCACAAAAATGAGTAATTTTATTGCCACTGAAATATTTTTGGACCGTCGGAGACATCAAAAGGCAGGAATCAAGATTTCTGGAAAGGATATCAGTAGTTGGATAGATTACTGGCAGAGATAGAGATATGACTACTGTTAAATCTATGGCAAAACGGCCACTGCCTTAAAACAAAATGTTTTGAAATACACAAAATTGTCCAATGATACATAGAAGGAAAATGAGTTTACCTATACCAAGATTTATTAAATATACTGGAAGCGTCAGTGACACTACAATCAATGACTGTACTAAACATTTTAAATTAAATTATACTTATTATAGCGATTTTGGATATATAATTGAAAATCGGCAAGGAAGCTGGCTGAGAAACTGGTTAAGTGGAAAACTCCTTCACACATATTTTCAAAAGAAGCTTGTATGATGCTTTCAAAAGGAAATATTTTACTACCAACATTAAGTCAGAACAAGCATAGAGGAAATATTATCAGCTTATAATATTATATCGTTAAAATTCTTGTATTCAGATAGAAAAACTCTGTAATGGTGTCAATTATTCAGTCCAAAATGTGAGACAAAATGCTAGACAAGGAACTTTTTTATTTTGCCATAATCAAAATTGGAAGTTGGATACTTATCATGATTTAAGATAATCATTACGTCACATTTCAGTTCCACTGATTTAAAGTACGCCTTGGCAATTTGAACTGAAAAATAGCTTTTTCTTTGATGAGATAATTTACATTCAATTAACTTCTAAACTGATAAAGGAACAGCCGTTTTCATGAGTGCAAATATTTTTTAACCCATGACAATCACTTCTGCATTATTGCCGTTTATCCCAACTCATGCGAGTCATATAATGTAGCTATGTATAACTGTACTATTATGTTTCCCCCAAAATAAGACCGGGTCAGTTTTTGTTCCAAAAGATGCATTAGGGCTTATTTTCAGGGAAATATGGTACTAAAATGCATCCATCTGGCTAACGGTCTTAACTGGGGCTTATTTTTGAGGTAGGGCTTATATTACAAGCATCCTAAAAAATCATGCTAGGGCTTATTTTCTGTTTGGGTCTTTTGGGGGGAAACACAGTAACAGCCCAAAGGAGGAAAAGTGATTTGCAAAATGCATTTTTAGAAAACTTGACAATCTTTTTAGTACTTACCCAACTAGTTCCACTTCCTTGAGTCTTGGTAAACAGCAATGAGGAACCTTGCAATACTGCCCAAGATGACATCCAATTCTTTCTATAAAGGAGGTAAATATTTGTACATAGTTAAGAATGCAGTGCTAAAATAAGACAATGGTAAATCAACAAATAGTATTGTTGTGCTTACAGGCATGCCTCTTACTGACAAAGTAGACACTTGTACAAATCATAGAAATATGAAGGTTACAGAAAAATATTTATACATTAGACAAACTCATTACACGAGCTTTTATATATTGGGCAAATTTATAATATTACATTCACACATGTAACTTAATCTGTAGTTCAAAAATATGTAAACAAAATGGTTAAGTATCTATGAATTTCACAATGAAAAAAAATTGTGATAAGATAGTATGAAACAGAATCTAATGAAAATTAAGCTAGCATTATATTTAAGGCTTGAGACTGCAATTTAAAGTCTTCAGCTCATCATGTTTCTTAGAATGATTTCGATTGTAAAGTTTATCAACTCAATTTCCACTGGAATCAATGAGATTTGTTTTGATAAAGATGTGTTAATAATATTCTGTCACATTATTTCATGCATTAGTGTGACACTTGAACAAATCAAAACTATAACTTGAAAGACCTTGAATTCCTACAAAATATTTAATATATACCCTGAAGTAGATTAGTAAATTTATATTAATTTTTACTCAATAATTTTTTATTCCAAAAAACCCCTAAGACTTAAAAACTTATAAATGCTATGGTAGTACTTGCCGGACTTTTTTCCCATTTTCTGTAATTTTAGTTACATTTAATAATCCATACTTCTCTTGGTCCTGGAGAAGAGAAGAAAAAGAAATTTAATAAAGATTTCTGTTCCCCTAAAGAGGAAATGGGTTATTTCATTTTATATGTACTCTCCAGGAGGGGAAAACAATGGAGATCTGAGTTGCAAACAGAACTCTCTGAATTTTATCTAACTTTTCAATATTATAATACATAAGGGTTTCCCCCTCCCTCCATTAATTTCAAGAGGCTATCAACTTTGTGTTTGTTTTCAAAGTTTCAACTGAAAATAAAAGAAGCTCAAGGTCTACCAGATTTGCCAGATATATATTAAAAGATGCTATGGATTTACATGATCCCCAGTTTTCTAACCCTTAGTTGTGCCCTCAAAGCAATGGCTAATCTGGGTTGGCATATAATTGGCACATTAATTTCCAACTACTGACTTAGTGTGCAGGCACAGATTTGAATGTCTCAAACTCTTAACCTGGATTAGGAGGCATGTTCTGTTAAAATTCTGAGAAATAATTTATAACATACATTAACAAATGTATCCCAATATGCACATATGATATATAGATAGATATAGATAGATATATAGATATACAGAGAGAGATTAACAAGGCCAAATATTTGTATTTGTACTGACTGTGGTTTGATGCCTTGGTGAGGAAGGAGAGGATCCATTCTCAGGAAATGCATTCTTTGCAGGAAAAGGGAAATCCTATAAAAGAAATTCATTTAATTAGTTATATAAGGGAAATAAAACAAGAACAAGCTTCTAAAGCAAGCTTATGGATTTTTAAATGGATGGAAAAGGTAGGAATACTAAAACAGTGGAATATGAATTTAAGATTTTTATTCTACTGATTAGCTTATTTCTATAATTTATTTTTGGAAGAGCTCAGTTTTAGTTATCTCCGAAAATAATCCACAAATAAATCATATTTCAAATACTAACCAGCTCCTTATATGTGGGAACAAGCAGGAGTTCAGAAGTATTAATTGAGAAATATAAAATAAGGCACACTTTTTTGTCTCCGAAAAGTGAGTGGAAATGTCTGTGTGTCTTATGGAGCAAATATTGCCGCACTCATGCACTGGCCCCAACCCTTCGGCCATTTTTGGCCTCCTCGTATCCCGTTTTCAGCTTCCACACGTCGTTTTTTTCCTCTAAGAAACTCAGGAAGATTTACATAAAACTTCCCTTAATTTTCATCTTTACAAATATTCTATGAAGTCGGTTGGGTTGGACAACAAGTAATAAATTTGAAGTCACCCAGTGAATTTCATAGTTCCACTTAAGGGTCTGAACCTAGTTCACACTTAGCAATAACCAGTATGATGTTCTTGCTTCTATTGGTTCTGCTTACCATTGTTTAACCCTTGGTATTCTTTAATTGGTTGGTACTGTGTATTCTTTATCTTGTCTATTGTACTTTGTTACCTTTTGCTGGTTAGGATGTATTTTAAGTTTTTAAACATGATTCCTCAAATACATACTGATTTCAGACAGATAAAGCAAAAAGCAACCATTAGGGATCCATTTGAGATAATGCCATAATTTTAAAGTCAGAAAACTAAAGTCTTAACAATCTATTCGCAACAACCACCTTTTAAAAAGTTATTTGGAGAAAGCAAATACAGTTTTTCATATATTTTCATTAATACCTTCTATATTTAATGCAAATTATTTCCCAAAAGTAGAAACAATATTTGAAATAGATTATATTGTATTCAGGATTTAATATGGCATTAACTTTTATGGAAGTCAAGGTGATTATGCAGTAAATAGAAGGCCAATCGATTATTTAAATTGTACCTACCTTGTCATTTGTGTCCAACACAACACAGCTGTGCCTCCATTTTGTTAAAACTACTGGTTCCTGAAGTCTCCTCTCCAAACTTCTGCTTTTAATTATTTCTTTTTGCTGTTGTAGCGAAGCATTATACTAATGAAAATAAAATCCACATGTAAATGTAATTAAATCTGGACTGATAACAAAACATAATATATGGACAATCCACTAGAAAGAATTTTAAATAGTATTTTCATTAACAGAACATGTATATACTTCTCTTCTCAAGAACTGAAAACATATCTAGTATCTTGGACCTTTGTGACATTCAAAAGTATTTTAATCTTTAAAAAGCCCTATAAATTAATCCATCAGTCCTACAAGATACTTAAAATTAATATTTTGTCACTCATCATACACATCAGTTCTTTGGCATCTATATCTATTTATACAAGAATGGCATTTACATTTGCGTCCAGCCAGAATCTAGATTAATTCAACCTATGCAATATTCTACTTGTTTTGTTATTCATATCCGAAGAACTTTTAATAGAGGGAAACAAGAGGCAAATTAAATAAAAATATCTATGCATACTGAATGGATAGTCCCAAAAGGTTACTTTAACCAAAATGAAGAACTGTCATTCCTTTTTCAAAACTTACGTTGTTTTGTATCTGTTGTTTTATAATTTGCATACTCTCCTTACATTCACAATAACAGGAAAACATCGAACCAGCAGCAAAATATAGTACAAGTAGTTGTTACAACTGCAATTGGGACTGGCAACTCTATCATTAAACGATGTGGTCACAAAGTAAAATATCACATGATTGCACTAACTTACAATGTCAGTTCTAATTGTGGTTAAAATAATTACTCATGGTAAATACCGTATATACTCGAGTATAAGCCGAGTTTTTCAGCCCATTTTTTGTGCTGAAAAAATCCCCCTCGGCTTATACTCGAGTCAGATTCCCCTCTGAAAAAAAAATGGTGTAGAGCTCCGGAGCTGGGCAGGCGCTTCCCTGCTTCCGTGTTTCCTTTGCAACTTTTAAGCATGGGGGTAATCGGAAGCAGAAAAGTTCTTGCATGAGAATATATTTTTTCTTTTTTTAACTGTTTTTAGGGGGGGGGGAAAGACCCACCGTCATGTGAGAATGCTCAGACACGAAATCTATCCACCCGAAAATAAGTGTGTGTGTGTGTGGGGGGGAATTTTAACAGAGGGAAGATGTAGGGAGAAGGCAAAAGCGACGGGAGATCCTTCAGGGGAAACTGAGGGGGAGACTCACCCTTGGTCCAGATGAGCCCCCTTCCCCGCCCCTAAGGAAGCAGAGGCAGCCAGCAAGGGCAGGCAAGCCCCGCTTCACAGACTCTGTCCGTCCTCGCTCCCACCCAAAGCCACGAAGTCCCCCAATCGCGCAGCCCAGAATCGCCCTCCCCTCAGGGGGCAGCAACGACGGCCGGTTTTTCCCGAGACAAGAAGCTCCGCCGTGCAATGAAAGCACCCTGGCTCTAGGCTCGCGGGCTCAGAAAACAACGCGAGCCGAGGTAGCTTCGGCTCCGCGCGGCTTCTCCAACATCCGGCACCGCCCTGTTCTATGTGCCGGGCCCGGCAAGTCCGAGCAGCCAGCGCGTGGAGCAGGACGGCGGCGGACATCGTTGGCTGCCTCTTTCGCAGCACGGGAGGCCTCCCCCGGCTGGCCAGCTGCTCTCCTCCTTCTCTGCCTGTTTGTTCTGTGTGACCGAGGAGGAGGAGACCGGCCGGCTGGTTGGGGGAGGCTTTCTGCGCCGAGGGAGGCGGCTGCTGGTGTCCGGCTTTGCTCCGCTTCTCTGATGGTCCGGCGCGGCCCTGTTCTTTACTTGGACAGCCGGGCGCCCGCAACGGCGCCCACGGCGGCAACAGGCAGTTCCGCCCGGGCTCCGCTCAGGTGTCCGGCTGGGGCTGTTGGGAGTCGCTGCCGCCGGCGCGGCCCCAGTCCCGTGTCGCCTCGGGAAGGGAAAGGCAAAGCGCTTTTTGCCTTTCCCTTCCCGGCTGGGGCTGTTGGGAGTTGCTGCCGCCGGTGCGGCCCCAGTCCCGCGTCGCCTCGGGAAGGGAAAGGCCACGGCTTGGAAGGCCGCCGCTGGAGCGAAGCTGCACGCAGCCGCTGCGCTAGCATCAGATCAGGCGCGCCGGACGGTTCCGACCGAGCCCCGAGTGTCGTCTTTGGCGCCTGCCCAGCACCGTGGAGCTCCCTGTACCGGGAGAAGGGGAAGACCCCCCCCCCGGGCGGGGGAGGGGGGGGGGGCTTCTCCCGCCCCCCTTCCGCGCCCACCGGTGTCCCCGCAGGACGACCCCCGCCCCGCAATCGCCGCCGCTTGAAAGAGACGGGCCGGGGGTGGGTAGAAAGGCGCCGGGCGCTCTTGGAGAAGGTCCCGCGTTCGCCTGTCTGCCCGCGGATGTCAGCGGAGCTTTGCCGCTGCTTCGTCCGGGGTCTCTGGGCAAACACGTCCACCCGAGCGGGGCTTGTCGCCTCCGGCACGCAACGAGCGCTGCCCTCGGATTCCCTGTCCGGTTGCCCCCCTTTTGAGGGCGATGGCAGTAAACTGTTCCTGTAGCAGCGGCTGCTCCTCTTTCCCGGCGGGGCTGGTGAACGAGGCTTCGCAGGGCACCTTCGGCTCAGCAATTCTCTCCGCCGGAGCGGCTGGTCCCGGGAGGCCGGCCCCTCTGCCCGGAGGGGCTGTGGGGGAGGGGGCTCCGGTCCGGCCTTCCGAAGCCGTGAATTCGTCCCTCTCGCTGATACGCCTGAGGCGCCCCTGGTTGCCTTGCCAGCTGGTTCCTCTGCCACAGAGCGAAAGAGGCGCTTCCCTCGAGGAGAGCAGGGGATGCCGGTCCTGAGGCAGCCAAGTCCCCCCAAATGCTCGCAGTCCCACCTGCCAGCCGGACGGTCGCCGCGCTTCCCTCTGGACTCTGCCGGTGCCTGTGCCCTCCAGAAGGCAGGAGGGTCACCCGGGTGTTTTTGTTTTTAGCAAACCTGAGAGGAGCACCAGGGTGGGGAAAAGGGAACACGTGACTACGCAGGAGCTGTTCTGGGATTCTTTCCTGCTTCTTGTGCAGTCTCACGCCCCTCCCGAGAAAGGACACCCTGACCCCCATTTGGGACTTGCGCCTGACAGGGGCCTGATGGAGCCCAGAGCTTTGGAAGTCATTCATTCTTCCAGGCTGCACATGAAGGACATGAAGAGCTTCCAGGCTCTTGAGAAGGGCGGGGGAGGAGAGGCCAGCCTGATGAGGTCTCTGCTCCATCTGACCCTGGAGTAGTGGGGTAGTTGTGATTGCAGGGAAGCCAGGCAACAAATTACAACTCTGGCCTGGCGGGTTGATTCAGACCGCCCTGAAGGAGGACAGAACCCACGTGAAGTTGTGATAACATTCAGAGCCAAAAACAGCCCCCACCCCTCTTCGGAGAACCCAGTAGTTCCCACCAAAGAGAAGGCGAGGGTGCAAAGGCTGGTCTGAACACAGCTCAGATCTGGCTTTTTAATCAGGGCCAGGGGAGCCCCCTGAAATGCAGGTCCTGGGCCGCATCCTGATACTTTCCTTGGTGCTCTGGGCAGAAGTAACTGGCCTGCTTCAGTCACAGTTCAGCAGAACACCCCACTAAGTACCCCAAGGTTTAGTGAACCATAAATCACTGTTGGCTCCAACAAGGGGACAGGACAGGAAGAAGTAACTGGGGTTTAGTAAATATAGAATCATTTAAATCCCAATCCAGATTGAATCCATACAGTCCATACAGTCTTAACTCTCGTTCATCCTTTTGATGAATGTTTTGTTTAGGTTGCCCCTGGCTCTTCCGGGTCTCGGTTTGGCCAGCGTTTCTGCTCAGGGGTCCAGTAAGGTGGGGGGGGGGGCGAAGGCTGCCCCTTCCGCCTCTACGGATACAGCTTCTGCCCAAGACTCCTGCTGTGTTCTGCCAAGGGCCACCGCCCCCTGCTGGTCACCACTGGCAGCTCCCCAGACCCTATCAAGGCTGGGTATCCACAAGAGAAAGAGTCCAACTGTTGGCAGCAGGGGTGGCAGGTGCCCGCAGTTCCAGGCCAGTTGCTTTATCAGGGCAATGCAGCAACTGAGGGATACTCAAAGAAGCACCGATCCAGATGCCAGACTGTTGCCAAGGACTTTTCTGAGCGAAAGAGAAAGGAAGGGCTCCGTGGACATCAGGCCACTCCAGGCAGGCTCCGGGTTCAGCGTCTTCAGTGGCGAGGGACGCCTCCTAAAGGACTGAAGATTAGGGGCCCACTCCCTTCTAGGACACGGTAGGATTGGCCGCCTCCACGCAGGAAGCTTCTCTCGCCCCCACCTTGTTTGTGGGAGGCAGCTGGACGTACCTGGGCTCCTGGGGCCAACCCAGAGGCAACGCGGGACTGGGGCCGCACCGGCAGCAGCAACTCCCAACAGCCCCAGCCGGACACCTGAGCGGAGCCCGGGCGGAACTGCCTGTTGCCGCCGTGGGCGCCGTTGCGGGCGCCCGGCTGCCCAAGTAAAGAACAGGGCCGCGCCGGACCATCGGAGAAGCGGAGCAAAGCCGGACACCAGCAGCCGCCTCCCTCGGTGCAGAAAGCCTCCCCCAACCAGCCGGCCGGTCTCCTCCTCCTCGGTCACACAGAACAAACAGGCAGAGAAGGAGGAGAGCAGCTGGCCAGCCGGGGGAGGCCTCCCGTGCTGCGAAAGAGGCAGCCAACGATGTCCGCCGCCGTCCTGCTCCACGCGCTGGCTGCTCGGACTTGCCGGGCCCGGCACATAGAACAGGGCGGTGCTGGATGTTGGAGAAGCCGAGCGGAGCCGAAGCGACCTCGGCTCGCGTTGTTTTCTGAGCCTAGAGCCAGGGCGCTTTCATTGCACGGCGGAGCTTCTTGTCTCGGGAAAAACCGGCCGTCGTTGCTGCCCCCTGAGGGGAGGGCGATTCTGGGCTGCGCGATTGGGGGACTTCGTGGCTTTGGGTGGGAGCGAGGACGGACAGAGTCTGTGAAGCGGGGCTTGCCTGCCCTTGCTGGCTGCCTCTGCTTCCTTAGGGGCGGGGAAGGGGGCTCATCTGGACCAAGGGTGAGTCTCCCCCTCAGTTTCCCCTGAAGGATCTTCCGTCGCTTTTGCCTTCTCCCTACATCTCCGCTCAGGTGTCCGGCGGGGGCTGTCGGGAGTTGCTGCCGCCAGTGCGGCTCCGGTCCCACGTTGCCTTGGGAAGGGTGGGGCAAAACCAGGAGCCGCTGAGCCTGAGCCTCCGGTGCCGCTGCTGCTGTTGCAAAGCGCTGCCGCGGCTCTTCCTTTTTGCCTTTCCCTTCCCGAGGCGACGCGGGACTGGGGCCGCGCCGGCGGTAGCGACTCCTGACTCAGGGGGAGTGACTCCTGCCACCCGCTGTCATCATCTTCTTTTGGGTTAGTGAATCAATTAAACCTTTCATGATAGTGAGATCGTTTCCCAAATTAATTATTTTTATTTTTGAAATTTACCAGTAGCTGCTGCATTTCCCACCCTCGGCTTATACTCGAGTCAATAAGTTTTCCCAGTTTTTTTTGTGTAAAATTAGGTGCCTCGGCTTATATTCGGGTCGACTTATACTCGAGTATATACGGTAAGTTAAAAAAACAACATGTGACTGTGACTTGTGACTTGTCAACTTTCCCATTGACTTTGCTTGTTGAAAGCCAGCTATGAAGGTAACAAACGGTGATCACACAATTGATGATCAACCATTGTATATGTATGCCAATTGCCAAGTGTCCAAATTGTGATCACATGCCTGTGGGGAGGCTGCAATGGCCATAACTATGACTGTGGAGAGACTGCAATAGTCCATAACTTTGTGGACTAGCCATATATCTTTTTCAATACTGATGCAACTCCAAACAGTCAGTCATTAAACAAGAGGTTGGTAAGCTATTATTTATTAAATCAATTAAATGGAAAGAAGCTCCCCACACCAAGTGTTTTTCTTTTATTTAAAATTATTTTATCCTGATACAGAACTAAAAATACAATTGGTTGTATTTGTTTACTTACATTGGGCAAAGTCCATTCTGATCGTGTTCCATCTGCATTGTAAAAGTATGGCCGACCTTGTTCATCTACATGTTTTACCCACTTCAGAAAAAAAAAGGTTAATGAAATAGTGAGTACTTTAAAAAGCAGAACAATGAACATATTTCATTTTTAAATACTGCCCTTTCAGTGAGCTGGAAAAAAATCTTATCAGTTTTAAAACAGATATTGTAGATGTATTTGTTTGTTATTTTATTAAATCTAGAGACCATCTAATTCCATTATGATTCTTCAGAATTCTATCAATTCAAAGTTTTCTTCCCATGCAGGCAGATGAACAAACCACATGTTTATAGCTTAGTATTTGTTCCACAATGTATTCATAATATAATTAACATTAAATAACATTAATGAGGGAACATCTCTTGCCGGTCACATCTACCCAACCCATTAGAGCGGGGAGGCAGGGAATGCTGCGGGTCCCATCCCCGAGGGAGATACACCTGGTGGGGCCCAGAAGAAGGGCCTTCTCCGTGATGGTTCCCTCTCTCTGGAACATCATTCCCCCCAGATATTAGAATGGCCCCCTCTCTAATACTCTTCCGGAAGGCACTGAAGACCTGGTTCTGCCAGCGGGCCTGGGGAACCCAGAGTATGATGGAGCCCATCAAATGGCTTGTGTGATCTGCTATCATCAGGGCAGGAAGTGGGAATTGGGGGTGATGTTTTATTTTATTTTTCCAGATTTTGTTCTATTATACTTTATTAATTTGATTCTTTTTGTTAGTTTTTATTGTTTTTATTTTTAATATGGTTTTACATTCTGTAAGCTGCCTCAAGTCACCATGGGCAAATAGGCGGCAATATAAATTCAATAAATAAAAATAAATAAATATCACGAGTTAAAATTCTACAAACTATTTTAACCTTGATAACAATTCATAATTTCCAGATGATAAAAGTTTGTCTAATAAAACACCTTGAGATAGGGAATTTTCAAGAAAGAATTGAAAATATAATTATTTTATATATGGATATCTTTTGTGTCAGGCATAAAGACAGTTTTCACTGACTTCAGACAAGGCTAGATAAAAATTGGAAGGGAAAACTAGAGGAATTCCTAATTTAAGGAATATTCACTAAATATCTTACTTTCAACAGTCAGGCAATGCCAACACAATCAAATTAAATATATAGTACATAAACATTTACAATGAATATAGTTTGTAGCAACATGCAAAGCAGAACATATTACTTTTACAAAATAGTAATATAGCTGATTATTTTTCAGCATTTTCTTTCCAAGGACTGCATTGACAAAGAAACACTAAAAATATAAGAAATGTATTATAAATATAATATAGAGAGGGCTTTACCTTTTGTTATCACAATGGAGAGCATTACAGTCCTTAGAATTTTTCCATTTTTCTCCCATTTTATAGCAAGATTAAATTTCCATCTTAGATGGTAATCTAATCTTGCTATAAAATGGGAGAAAATACAGATTCCCTTTTGGCTAATCAAGCTGATAAACCTCCTACATCTGTTTTTTGTTTAGACAAATTGGAAACAACAACTAGACCAATTTTTTAAGAAAAGTTCAAGGAGACAATAGAATTACTCTTATAAGCTCCCTGTGGCGTGTGGCTGCTTGGATGAATACAATGAAAAGCTAAACATAGCACTGTACATTCCCACTATATTTTTTGTACTGCAATTTTATTGGAAGAAAAGAAAAAGAAGGAACACTATCTGCCTTTGAGAAGAGGGTTCATGCACAGTTTGTTTCTGTATTTGCTCCTATTTTCGGTACCCATACTAGGGGGGAAAGGAGAGAAACAGGATTAAGTCAGGCTGGATAGATGGATTCAATAAAGAATCCTATTCTAAAGGGAACACACAGGATCCCTATTCCCATGCCAAATTCGCATCTTTTACAAAGATCCCACCTTATATGCAGACGTCAAAGCATCTTTGTTCTGAGCTGGGTTAATCATTCCTTTCACCATTTCGGCTCTAGAGGGCAGTGCTCATCTCCATAATAAAGCTGAAGAGCTAGCACTGTCTGAAGATGTCTCCGTGGTCATGTGGCCGGCATGACTAAATGCTGAAGGCACATGGAACACTGTTACCTTCCCATCAAAGTGGCTCCAATTTTTCTACTTGCATTTTTACATGCTTTCAAACTGCTAGGTTGGCAGAAGCTGGGACAAGTAACGGGAGCTCACTCTGTTATGTGGTGCTAGGGATTCAAACTGCCAACCTTTCTGATTGACAAGCTTAGTGTCTTAGCCATTGCGTCCCTCATAAGAAGTCATACCTATTAGAATTAATGTTGACTGAATTTCTATCACCTTGGCAGATATGTGATGAAGAACTCTATACCTTTTCATTGGTGAGGTCACTGGTATATTGTGTTTGGCCATGTTCATCCATCTCTTCTGACCAGCCCTTGGGAGGAGAATCATATTGACTGTCTGTCTGGCTGTTACAAGGACTGTGAGAGTTTTCTTGGGTTGAAATTGTCTACAACAAATAGTCAAACACGGAAATATTAAGAACTGACATTAGTTTAAACTCTATAAAAGACTGGAAATTGTAACACTAAAACTCTGAACAAAGCATGCATTCTAACATGAAGCAGCTGAAATTTAAATGGCAACATAGTTTAATCTGATTACTTATGAATAGATTACTTTTGTAAAAGATTAAAGTCCTGGTGTGTGTGTGTATGTTTGTGTGTGTGAAAGCTAGCTTAGTTTAGAAGCAACTAAAAGTTTACAAAGACTATGACCTAATCTGTACAATTAGTTCCACTAACAAAAATATGAGCTAAAGTAAGACTTCAAACCATATGGGATTTGCATAATTTTTAATTCTACTTCTGCTCTCCTGGTCTTTCTATCAATTTCCTTCCGCAAACATTATCCACAGACTATTTTAATTTTTTGGTTTCTCCTTATAGGTGGATTTCCGAATTTAGAAGTCTGATTTCTACATTTTACAATGTTTCTAACAAAATTCTCCTGGTATATATTATTTAATTATCCCTAGCAACATAGAAATTCATAATGCAAAATAATTTAAAGGGAGAAAAGGTAATGGTATTCAGAGATAAAGTAAAGAAATAATAAATGTATTTAAAAATAATTAAAGTTGTGAAATTTGAATATGCTTAATTATTGCATAGCTTGTCCAATTTGCTCATGAATAGACTAATATCCAACCACAGCAGTTGTTTTGTTTAAAAAGGCTGTGATTTCATACAAAAGGAAAATTTTGCTTATAAAGAAGATAAGTAACTGAATTAAATAAACCCAATTTAAAATGCAAGGCCGATCCAGAAATCTTAAAATGAACCACGATGATCCAAGACACTGAGATTCAATACATACTTATAATTGTCAGAAAAATTAGATCTTTTCATGTTGTCTTATTATTTAAATAAATGAATCTCATTTGTCATCATTCTTCAAGCAAAGGAGGCCACAAGAATTAGTAATTAGTACTAAAACTAAGGGACCAAAACATACAAGGAATATTATAGAATAGAATGAAATGGAATGGGGAGTGGGAGAGGAAGAGGGAGTGAGGGTAGGGTAGAATAGAATAGAGTTGGAAGGGACCTAGGAGACCTTCTAGTCCAACCCCTACTTCGGCAGGAAACCCTATACCAGGGGTCTCCAACCTTGACAACTTTAAGATTTGTGGACTTCAACTTCCAGAATTCCTTTGCTGGCTGGGGAATTCTGGGAGTTGAAGTCCACAAATCTTAAAGCTGCTAAGGTTGGAGACCTCTGCCCTATACCATTTCAGACAAATGGTTATCCAAACTCTTCTTAAAAACTTCCAGTGTTGGAGCATTAATTGTTCTAACTGTTAGGCAATTTCTCCTTAGTTCTAGGTTGCTTCTCTCCTTGATTAGTTTCCACCCATTGCTTCTTGTCCTGCCCTCAGGTGCTTTGGAGAATAGCTAGACTCCCTGTACTTTGTGGCAACCCCTGAGATATTGGAACACTGCTATCTTGTCACCCCTTAGTCCTTCTATTCTTTAAAGTAGACATTCCAAATTCCAGCAACTCTTCTTTATATTTTTTACCTCCAGTCCCCTAATCATCTTTTTATGTTAATATTAGTTTTAACAATTCCAGTAACCTTAATTCTAGAGTTATGTCCCCAGAAAAAGACAATGCTTAAGGTTGAATCTGGTGATTTAATGCTGAAATAAGAGCCCTAACACTGAGAGCACTAAGTTTCATAACAACATTTTCAAGCATCACACCACTGAGTTTCTCAAATTAGAATTATTCATTATTCTAAAGTTAACATAATAACCCATCATTTCTGTTGTTTTATGATATTCTCCTATTCCAATTCATGTTGAATATATCTTATTAAAACTTTATTAACCTACTTTGCTGCTTAGCATTTTTAGAAGCACGGGATGCATTAATTATTGATTTAAAAGACTTAAAACTCAGTGAAAGCACATGTGTAACATGCAGAAACTGCCAGGGGTTCTCCTTCTTGCACAAGCATAAAGCTGGACAACCTCCTGCCTGATACCAAGTTACTAATAGGGTTTCACGTTATTATTCCACATTAATATGGGAAGTACAGTGAAAGGCAGATAAAGATAGTACTTTTCCAAGAATGAAGGCAGAGAAACACTGCGAGGGAAAAACATCAAAACATAAGTCACAACGCCACAGTACAAACTCTGCCCCTTTCATGTTTAAGTCATAATGGTCTGTGTGTGTGTGTGTGTTTGTGTATGTGTTTGTGATGGAATTTGTGTAGAGTCATCACAAGTTTTGTTGTTTTGAAAAAACTTTAGCTTACTTTAGATGCCCGTAGATGAAGTATTTTCATGTTCTTTTTAAGTAGGCTTAACGGCTCATTGCAAAAGTATGCAGAACACAATTCAAAAGCCTTATATGGAACCCGAATGATTTTTTTTCTGTTTTTTTTAGATACTCTGTTTTTGACTTTCAAAGTAGGAATAATCAGGCCTAAGAAGTTTTCTAGGCAAAAGCTGTGAGCATTTTACCTGACGCTCTGCAGAGGGTATTACTGCAGAGTAATAGCATACATTCTTGCCTTTTGTCTTGAATGTTTATACTACATAAGAAAGATGATATCAAAAACTAAAAGGCTCAAATAGGTGCTAATAATAATATTTAGTGTTCAATATAAAGTATAAATTGTGGTGGTCAACAGTTAGGAGAACAAACTGAGGGGAAAAGGAGAAAGCATTACTAGAAAAATTCCCCATAATGTTTTTATTTACTTTACTTGGCAATTATCTTATTCTTATTACTTATCTTAGTTACTATGTAATGTAGACTTTTTTGCCTTTGTATTTCATTATTATAACAATTTAAAATATATCTGAGGGGACCTTATAGTTCTCTCTGAGCCTGGATGTCTTCTTGCAGACGTTTCATTACCCAAAGTAGATAACATCATTGTCACAAGCATTGATGATATTACCTAGTTTGAGTAATGAAGGAAGCCACCAAGCTCAGAGAATATCAAGGATTCCCCCATTTCAACCTTGAATTACAAATATTTTCCTCCATATATTTTTATAATATATTAATTTTTAATATTTAATTTTTTAAAAAAAGAAACACAATTGTTAAAGAGATGTGCTTCAAAAACACAATAGCCTCCCTGTTAGAAGACACGCATGCAAGATCTATCTGCAGGTCATTTTATTTGACTGTACTAGCCTCGGACAACTTACTTCTTGATCTACTTGGTTCGAACAGTCTCCTTTCGTTATACTTGGATCCCGAGTCCAACGTGGAGGTTTCCAGGTTCTCTCCTGTGTTCCTTTGTTGTAATAATAGTAGCGTCCTGTGATATCCTTATGGGTCTCCCACTCTCCACTGATTTGGACTGCAGGACTTATAGGCACAGGTGGTGGTGCAGACTGAGAAATTTTCAGTTCTTGTAAGTTAGCATAAACAGGTGAATCTGGTCTTCCTTGGTTTGGCGGTGTCACTGGCTGCAATAAAACAAATTGTGTACAATGTTAAAGATCACTTTGTTGGGAATAAATTTTATACTGGAGGTCTTCTAATCCAATCCTCTCCTCAAGCAGGAAACCCTATGCCATTTCAGACAAATGGTTGTCCAATCTCTTCTTAAAAACCTCCAGTGTTTACTATGTCAATCCTGACAGGCCATATTGAGACTTCAGTGCTGACATACTGGAGAAGAGGGATAGGGAGGGGAGAATAGAGATAGTTGGGGTGTTGTAGTCAAAACAAAATACTTTCTTTTGGGAATCAAGGACATTTCTGCAGGTGCTTGGAAAGAGGGGACTGGAGTCACCTAGCAATTAGACAGTATCCTGATTGGACAATGTGATTTATTGTTTTGAGAAGGTGACAAACTTTTACTTTTAATTAGGTGAAAACTGCGGGAATATTCAGAGTCGGTTTTCACCAGTCTGTGTCAATATGACATATTCAATAAACCTATTCTTTGAGGAAATTGCCTGCCTCAGGGTTCTGTTTGCTATGGGTATGTTACTTGGATCCCTGACACACTATCTGTAGCATTCTAAAATAATTAATAAAACATGCATAAGGTTAGGGTTGCAGGAGGCGATCGCAGCTGGAAATGGAGATCGGGAGCCTGTTTTTACTGCAGTGCGCTTGGGCCGCCACAGATGGCCTCGACACAAATTTTGAGCTAACCACGCCCACCCTGACTACACCTACCCCGACTCTCTGAGGTCAAACACAACCCTGATGCAGCCCACAATGAAATCAAGTTTGACCCTGCTTCATAGTATCTGAGGACAGGACAAGCAGCAATGGATGGAAGCTTGTCAGAAGGAAATCCAACCTGAACTAAGGAAAAATTTCCTGAAAACAATTAATCAGCTTGCTTCCCAGAGTTCTGGGTTTATCAGCACTGGAGGTTTTCAAGAAAAAAATGGGCAACCATTTGTCTAGGATATATAAGGACTCCTACGTGGGCAGGGGGGTGGACTAGGAGGCCTCAAGGTCCCTCCCACCTCTATGATTTTATGATTCTCAAAGAAAAAATATCTGGGAAGGATAAATCATTGCTCTGAGTGACAGCTACAAAAAAAATAGCAAACTCTCCAAGTAAAGCTGATCTACCATGGGAAAGACACAATATTAATGTAGTAGATACTAAACAATATAAAATATTGGGATGACTTTGGGAACAACACTAAATGTATTATACAATCTTATAGTATTTAGATATCTACATGTGCCTTAAATTTTGTGCAAGTCAATGCTGTATTAAAAACTTCCTTATTTGTTTCCCATTTCTTTTCTATTGTAAAACCATGAATAAGTTATGAAATCAACAATTTAGAAGTTTTTTAACTATGACTAGCATTAATACAGTAGTCAGGAAATGTAGCCACTGAATAAAGCTTCTTTTTCATTTAGTCATAGTGCTTGAAACAGAAGATGAAATTATGCATGGCTGCCCAGAAACTAAACAGAAGTCAGTAGCAAACTACTTCTATATTTTGACAAACATGGATTAGTCATTAGGATTTAAATTCAATTATAGGGAAGCATTAATAATTTATTGAATAATTCAGTGATGCTGAATAAAATGTTTTACATTGTTTTAAGCAGACTATTATTTAATATTTTAATATTTAATATTAAAATATTCAATATTTTAAATATTAATATTTAATATTTATATAATATTAAAATATTTAATATTAAATAATAATAATAAATATTATTTAATATTTAATTATTTAATTTTGATTTAATTGATTAATTATTTAAGCAGATTATATATATTTCACGTGTACATCAACTTTTAATGAAGAGTAGGAAATCTGTTTAACTATGAATACCTGCATTTCTATAAGAAGTTGCTTAGAAACAGAATATATAGAAAATTATTTCAATTACCAAAAATAGTAAATACTTACAAATGAAAGTTGATCTATATCTAGCAACTAAAATAAAGAGGAACTTAAACTTAATTTAAAAATATTAATTATTAAGAGAAGCAGTTTAAAATATCACTTAAATTTATTTTAAGTCAAGCATTCCCTAATTAAAAATAAACTGAATTGTTAGGTACAGCTTGAGAACATTCTAACTAGGGTTTTTACTCATTCGCTTAAAATTGTTGTACTAAAATCACAAGGACTGCAAAGTGCTCATTTTTATGTAGACTTGCCCATACTGATATATAATTAAGTTGCACCGATAAATAGTATATGAATACAATGTTATATGTTTTTCTCCAATTCACTCTTTTATGTTCAGCTGCTTCTTCCCTTCAGTTTTTATGAATCCTAAATGTTCACGATCAAGTGGCAAGGGCCAACTGTAAAGTCAACAGCGAAAATAAATTTTAATAAATGTATTAAAAATGTCTACAAATCCACTCACAAATCTATCTGCTTCTTAACAAGAGTAAGAAAATGTCTTTTTTAAAAAAAAGCTGTTTTGCCACGGCCTCCCTCTTCTATTGGTTTACAAAAAATGCATACAAGAGATACTATGGCTAGCTAAAAACCCAATACTATACAGATTTATCTGTATAGATCTGATGATCTATCAGGGTCATCCAAAATTTTCTCACCTTCCAGCATCATTTATGTTACAGCATTCTACTAGAATCCTGGAAGTTTGAGAAAATATTTTTTTGCCCTTTTCTTTACTAATAAACACTTGTCAAGAGTGAAAAAAATGCCTTTATTAGAGTCCACGAGGAACCTTTAACTTCCTAGGCTCAGTTATTCTCCTTTCTTTTTACTGAGCATCATATCTTCATTAATCATAAACAATACTAAGCCATAACTTATGACCTACAGGCTACCTACAAAACCAACATCCTCCCATTACATCAGCCTCTCTCACACAGTCAGGCAAGTTATAGACCTTGCCAGTTAAAGAATTCCGATTGGCAGGATGTAGGAAGGGAGCCTTCTCTGTTGTGGCCCCCATCCTCTGGAATATATTTTCCCCAGAAGATACCTTCCTGGCCTTAAGGAGTTAACATGTGGCTTGGAGGCCTCATGTGGGGAGCCCAGGAAAACATGCAGGTGTGGGGCTGTTTAGTCCACTGAAAGCCCTTCCTTCACTCTTCAACTAATTTTAATCTCTAGCCTCCTTTTAAATTTTTGGTGCTTTTTTATACTTTTATATGCACTGTTTTATATTCTAATATTTCATTGTACATTGCCCAGAATCTTTTCCTGAGGGATACACACCTTTTTTATCCATTTCTTTGTGTGTTTACTGTGTATGTATGTGTTTGTGTGTATGTATATATAATTACACACACACCTCTCTCTCTCTCTCTCTCTTTCCTTCCCTCGGAGAGACAGAGACACACACACACACAGAGAGAGAGAGACAGAGACAGAGACAGAGAGAGAGAAATGATTCCTGCAATGAACTATGAGAAATTCTAAATATTTTACAATATTTAGAAGATGAAAAGATTAATTCCTTACCAAACCTAATTGCCGAGTACTTGCCCACAAAAAATCCTGATAAATACAAGGCATATTAGCAGGGCTCATTTGCACAAATCATAAGACTGATGCATAAGATCTCTCAGCTGCATTGAAGTGATTCATCCCAGGAAATTTATGATACATCTCTGAATCAGCTGCAGCATTCTAATGCCTACAACACATTTGCCTCTGTTCATAGTAATAATGCTCAAGATTAAGGCCTTTTAAAAAAAGTGAGTAAAATACCAATTTTTTATTTTATTTATCAAATTTATGCTCATCTCGCTGTTCAAGGTAACACTGAGTGGCTTACAACATAATAAATCATACATAACTAAAAAAAATATAAAATCTCATACATGATTAAAACAAAACAAAAAAAACCCACAGGTTTAGAGCGGAAAGGTGGAGGCGGCTTCTCTTTTACTACAGTAGCCATCTCCAGCCCACAGCTTCTCCTTCAGGACCCAATGTCAACTGGCATAGCAAAGTTTTAAGGCATTTCCTAAAGGCCAGAAGGGTAGGGGAGGACAGCAAGATAGAGCAGGAGCCATGGCAGTAAAGGCTCTTCTCTTGGACCTTACCAGCTACAATTCCTTGGCCGATGGGTTTGTAGCAGGAGTGGGATTCTCCTGGTGTGGACCGGTTTGGGCGAACCCCTTGTTCCGATGATCAGCTGGCTCCAAACCGGTTCACTCCGAAGAGCATGTGGGCCCGTCCACTCACCCCTGCTCTTTCCTGGGCTTTATTTCCTTTGGTTAGAGCACAGCTGATTCGGGTGGCAGAGCAGTTTGCTGCGCCTCAGCTGTTTGATTTACAGGGGCTGCAGTTGAAGGTAAGTATTATCTTTTTTAAATGCGGAGCATGCACACAGAGTACGTGTTTGGTGCGTGTGCGTGCAAAGCATGTGCTCATCGAACTGGTTGTTACACCGCTTGAATCGCACCACTAGTCTGTAGTATGCCTCTTCTACCAGCTGAGTGGGACAGGCCAATCCCATTGGGGCAAGAGGGCACCTTGATATGTTGGACCCATGCTGTAAAGGGCTTTAAAAGTAATGACTAACGCCTTGAATTGAACCCGGAAACAGATCGGCAGCCAGTGCAACTCACATAACAGTAGTATGTTATAGGCCAGTGATCCCCAACCTTTTTGACGCCGCGGCCTGGTACCGGCATCAGCTGGGCGCCGCAGCCCGGTACCGGCATCAGCTGGGCGCTGCCATCTTTTTTTGATGAAAACGTGCTTCCGGTGAGCTTTCTACCCGGAAAAGCTCACCGGAAGCACTTTTTCATGAAAAAAAGATGGCGGCGCCCAGCAAGCCGCGGCCCGGTAGGAGTTGTTCCGCGGACCGGTACCGGTCCGTGGACCGGTGGTTGGGGACCCCTGTTATAGGCTACCCCAGGGGCCTCCAAAATTTAAGTGCTGCTGCATTGCGAGGCTTTTTTCTTTATTAAATAAACATGCAATTTGCTCTGAAATCAACCTATGTTAGTACTGTATCTGTTAGAGAGGAGCTAGAT